TTCCAAATTTTTTGCTACACAAAGTGCTCACAATTCCTGGAGTGCATTCACCCTGGTTGGCAAGCACTTTGACAAGAATTCTAAAACTCCACCTGAGTCATGAAATTTATAAATTTTTATTACAAATTGCTTTTCAACAGAAGAGCATTTAAAACTCAGATAAAGTTCATAAATTAAGAATAAATAACTGAATTGTTGTTAGAATTAAAATCGCATGTTAATAACTCACTTATTCACAATGGCAACATTTCCGACTACATGTATTAACATATTCTACTGAATACATTTATTGATGACATACATGTATGAGAGTACATGTACATTGTACAAGTTAAAGCGAGAGGCTCGTCACCTGCGCACACACAAGAATTGAGTCCCAAGCGTTGATAACAACACACGCTAAAAACGCAAAGGCTCATGGGTGGACATTTTACAATGACATGCTATGGCCATCTGACGCATGCGCAGGTGACGATTCCCTCGCTTTAATATCGTCAATTGAACATTGTTAAACCACCCATAACCCTGACATGCAGTGAGCATAGCAGAAAACAACTATGGATTACAATGCAAGAACTACATGTAAAGTCAAACCTGTTTATAATGACAGTGGATCTTTATATGGAAGTTAAATTATTTTTTTTACAGATTGCCAGCTCATACATTTGACCTAATGTACCCAGAAAATAATTAGATGGTATTGTTAAAACAAAAACCTATTGATTTGAGTTGAGTTGATCAAAATCGTTATTAAATTTTTGGGCGCTTTTGATCTGAGCTGTTCTACACAACTATAACGCTCGCTCGCTTCACCCAGCGCGTAGCATCATTTGCATAAGTGCATGTCTACTTTCATTTTCTAGAAGTGTTCCACTACCAGATTTCATAACTTCACTGCATATTATGAAAAATTAATAAAAAAAGACCAGTTAGAAAAGACCAGTCCAAAGAATTTTGTGTCAGACAAAGATTAAAAAAAAAAAAGAACGATTATAAAATTGCCATGGCTAGGCCAGTCTAAGGTTGGCCCGTACATTATACCTTGGGACTGCATGGTCATTATTGGCATGTAGTGTTTATAGAAGTGGTCGCTAACACATGTTTAACTATACGTGTGATTTAGCAGTTCCACAAGGATGATCATTTGTTCAATGTATCAAGGTGGTGTGCTGTTGAGTGTATAGAGGTGGCTGAGTCACTTCCACTTGAACAGTTTAAATACTATATGTTTTTAAAATCAATGGATAACCTTTTAAAATGCACGTAATTCAAATTTATAGAGCTTGTACTATTATTTTTATCTTTATTTCAGGCATCAAAGACCATAAAAATGATTGAGAAAATTCTATAAAAAAAAAGAAAATTATTGGACACGCCACGATGACCAAAATTTATAAAAAAAAAATGTCAGTTAAAATACATATCAAAATAGTCACTTTATTGAATTTCTTTAGGATAAACTGTAGTATACATGTAAATTGTTAACATCAAAACTGTCAATATTATACCTAAGATACACTTGATAAACAATTAATATTATACATTAGTCTGAACATATTTTTATATAAGCTACACCAGTACTGTTATTACTGTACTTATTAAAACTGGACCATAAAACCACAACAGACAATGGAGACATACCAGCAAGAATGACTGCATTTCACTTCCAGCTATCATTTACTAAATTTGAAAAGAATTTGATTTCCTCTAGTGTATAATGATTTCGTCTTTAGTAAGAGCCACCAGAAAAGTTACATTTTACATTTCAATAACAATTAATTTTATACATGGTTAGTAATTTATTGCTTCATCTTAGTCTGTTCTCACAGATCTGTTGATTGCTTGTGTGAGATCAAATGCCAAAACACAGATTGTTTTAAAAATTTCACAATTTTGTGTATTTTTTTAAAGATTTTTTTAGTTTATTTGTTTATTTTAGACTCAATGAACATTATTTTCAATCCGCCGCAAATCTTGATCAAAATTGATGAAAAATGTAGAAAAAACTATGCACTTTATTTGCTGACAAAAAATTCACTAACATTTTTAAAGGGATGTTTTTTTTTCACTAGATGTTAAAAATATAACACAATGCATGAAAATGCATTTCTAAAGATGACAGAGCTAGACTATTCGTCGCCGTAGGTGATTACCCAATGTTTTACTTTACCCTTCTGGGATAGTTCATTGTTGTTGTCACACAGTTATCTGCCGTTGCTTAGTAAACTCGCATGTATCATAGTACTACTTCGTTTTTAATTACATTGTTTGATTATTTTGGCAGGCTATCATGGCGGGACAAAAAGACCACAAGAGTGACACCATCAGCGTCGCTGGCGATGATGTTGCACCTGCATCCCAGTCAACAGCAAACAGAATCGCAGCCGGTTATTTTGAGAAATTTGAACGTGCTGAAGTACAAGAGATGTTAGCATATAGTTCATACCAATGGTACTTATCAGCGGACGAATTCAAAGTGTCGATTGATGCGCCAAAGGGTTTAATCGCCTCCATGAAGCCAGTTTCTGAGAACCATTGTGTATTCATGTTACCAGAGCGACCAGATATACAGCAACTAGATTTTAGAGAAATTCATCAGATAGTTAGAGAGTTAGTTATCGGCATCTATTGCCTAAATCAGATTCCTTGTATAACGCTTGACGCCAACTTTGACCAGAGTACGTCATGTCAGTTACCGCCTGCTTATAATGATACAAGAGTAGGTCAACTACTTTTAAATGTAGACTATATGATGAAAGCATTATGGCACGGTGCTTATTTCCCCAAAGAAAAGCGTTCCAAGTTTTCTGAGCGTTGGCGTTCCAACTTGGATGTCAACGCTAACGGCAAGCCTGAAACTAAGAAGACAATACTGACAGAGTTCACTGCAGCAGGTTGGTCGGTCTTTGTAGTTATTTGCTTGTTGTTTGACGTCTGCATGTCTAAACATTTCCCATCATCATCTGTAATGTGTGGCACTAGAAGTATAAACATTCACCGCACTAATGCTTTAATACCTAATATGGGTATGTAAATGTAAGATTCGCATGGCTGATCCTGCAGCTATCTATAAAGGTAATCACTCTTCTTGCATCATGTGGGAAATAACTGGGAAAAGGGTTGTATGTGTCATGTGTGTGTGTTTTGTTTATTTGCAATATATACTGAGAGGACATAAATACAGATATATAACGACTTCCGAGGACATACATAACTTTCGAGAATGTTATTCATAGTCCTGGGGGGAAAATATAATTTATATCCATAGTTAATTCAGCGTTGCTTAGGGATAGTAAAGGGGTACAGTATATATTAATATTATAATAATTTATTAAATTAAACTTCAATTAAAATGCAATTCTATATGGAGTGCAATTTGATTTAGTTTAATTAAATCGCAACCCTATATATAGTATTGCATTTTAATCAAAACATAACGCAACTATATTAAAAGTTAATCCAGTGGACGTCCTTGGAACATATACATGTAGCAATACATGTACACGTATGTATGTAGTTGTGTTTGTTTGTTTATATGTGCGGTGCAGTTATGGAGGTATATTTTACAACCACAGGCATGACAAAATTTAATAGTCTCTGGGTGGTAGAACATGACCAATTTTTAACTAGTCACAAAATGCCTTGTAGTTTTAGCATTTTTGTGTATTAGTGTATAGGCGATTATGCAACATACCCGGTAGTAAGTAATAAAAAAAACATTGCACTCAGTGAGCATGAGACACTTGCTTCTGAATCTTTTAAGTCAAAATTTCCTGAGCGAATACGAATATCTTCCATACTACAATTGCATTATGAGATGGATATAACCAGATTTCATGGTAGCTAGATCTGTTTTTGATTGTTAAAACACTCAAAAATTAATTTTAAAAATGCTAGTCAGACACTCCATGCTTGTGCAGTGCATGCAGCACCCCAAATTATTGTGCAACCGAGTCTTAGCTCCTGGCACTGGATGCTCTCCTGTAATATGCATAATTTATTTTATATTCAGGATCTTTATGGCATATGTTATGATTATTTTCTTATACTATTTGTCTGAAATTTACTGAGCATGAGATGAGACAGATACTGCAGAAAAAAAACACCTCCAAAATAAAACGCCATATTGTGCTTTACAACTGGGATGCCGAAAGCACTGCGTGGAAAGCGTGTGAAAATATAGATTTCAACACCTGGCAGCTTAATCAGTCACTCAATCCATGTTTAATTTACGTTTATTAGAACTGTAAATACTAGTACTTAATAACATAACCTAGCGCTTTGTGACGTCATTCGTAACCTATGCTATTGCACAAACGAGTATATTCTTTATGGTTGCCGATATAGTGGCATTGTTGCTTGATTGTTAGTATCCATGACAACCAATGCTATGCAGACCTTTAGGTAACCCCATACATACATGTGACTGTCATTATTGTTGATGACAGCCGAATTTCATTGCTTTAATAAAATAGATTGCTCAACCTTACTAATCACTGATAACCCCTTTATTTCTAGTGCCATTCATTTCAGTTACATGTGTTTGTTATCTGTCTGCTTCCTTACACTACTCCATTTGGTGTGTCTCTGTTCCACTTACAGTACAGTCATTCTCAGCAGACAGTCATCAAAAGTTGAAATAAGAAAAAACTATTATTTAGTTTTCTTTATTAACAGACCTTGATTTTATAACTTTTTGAACACCCCATGTGTTTCTATTATTAAAGATGTGTTGTTGTTAATTAGCACATCTGGTTTAATAATTAATATTAGTGTTGTTAAACTTATCTTGTTTTCACAATCTTCACCTGGATGTACTGGGATTCTAATGTAACTGCAATTTTATGAAGCTTAATTCTCAAATACCGACAGGCAAACACAAACGATTTTAAAGCATCCAACTTCATTTCCTCTAAGCCTCATTTTAAAAATTTCTTTTCAGTGGGAAGCCCATGTTTTGTACATCTAATTGGACAAGCTTAACATTCTGTTCAATTTCTTGCATTTTGTATTCAAATCAACCTTATTCAAGGTGGTTTTTGAGGTGAATTTCTTTGTATCAATTTCGCGTCACGGAAACACTAGATTGGCTAATATGTCTTCAAATGTGGAATTTAACAAGTTGTTAATCTGTATAATATTGATACTCCCCTGGAGGTAAATCAAAGCATCCACAATAAGGATTGAGTAGGAATTGATGGATTGAGACTAAAGCTGGCATCACGTTTTTCACTGTGCATACATTCTACTTAGTTTCAAAAGGAGAATTATGGGCAAGACATGTTCTGTATTTGGACAATATGTTTGCAGCCTTGTTCCATTTGATAATTCAACTTAGTCAATATTTATAATTCATAAAATTGCAGTTATAGAAGAAACCCCTCTCCTAGTAATGTTAAATTTCTCATAATATCAACATGTATGTACATGTCTCTCATTCTGCCTGTGTTATATCATTTATCATAATTTCACCTTATTTTAGCGTTACGTTCCATTTTTGTTGTTGTAAACATTTAATTTTGAATCCAGTATAAGCCCATTCACTGAAAATTCTATTCCAATCTGTGATTACCATTTATTTGATGTTTTTTTAGTATTATCGGGTACCCCTAACTCACAAATTTTTTGAAAATTTTCTTTTGTGAATTCAAAGTGGCTGACAGTAGCTGTTACCAGCACCAGCTAATTTTATCAATTTATTCACCGATATCAAATTTAGGAATTGTACAAACAATCGTGGTCATATATATATAAAATCATTAAACTACTTAACAGCAAATGTCTAAGGCAAATTTGATCAAGATATGTAATCAGCCATTTTGTGATGACTTTATTGTACTTATCTTATCTGTTTTTGAAGTATTGGCCATATATATCTAATTGAGGTGAAGGTTACTGAACTAGTTCAACTTCAATTCAAAAGACTATACGTACGAGTGTCAACTTCTCATCATATACTTGTCCATGTGACATCATCATCATGTCCTCCTTTTATTATTGAAAGTCGCATTCATAGCCAATCATGCAATACTAGACTTAAATCCCCCAAATATATATACTGTATTTCAGAAAATGTTTTATAAAAAAAAATTAAATCCTGAAAAAGTTAGTCTTCATCAAAATTTGTTGTTCCCACGAGTCAGGGACTATGTAAATTTTAAACCAAACTGACTTTGAATGAGCCTACAAGTTGGACAGAATATCACAAGGACAGGAAACACTTAAATGGACTGAATATTCCCACTATTTTAAATGATCCAATTATAAAGTGAAATGTAAATTGGTTCAATTTAACTAATCATCGGGTACATCCTTCCTCGGCTTTTCCACGACAATGAAGAAATAGAATTTGGAGAATGTAGGCTTAAACTAGCAATCCAGGTAAATGAATTAAAAAGTTAAACATCAATATTAACAGTTTGTACATGTAAATCTTCAATGTACAGTGTAAAGCCATCTAATTTAATCTAATAAGTGGAAAATTTCGTCACAATATTGTAGCATTGAAAGTTTTGCTTAAGTTCGTTCATGGAGCTGATTTTTTAGCTCCATGGTTTAACAAAGAATCATGGTGACTTTAGAGAAATTAAGTCTTCTCGAACTACATTTTTGTACAATGAACAGTTAAACAAAACATTAAACTTGCACCACGGTTAAATCCACTGAAAGGAGTTTTTTTATATTTTATAACAATCCCTGTGTCTATAAAGTGAACTGTGTACAGGTAATCTAAATACCTTACACTATTGGCAACAATAACATTTTAATTAAATTTAAATATTGATGTTTTTCATCCAGTTAAGCTTTATTTCTCCCAATTATTTTTTATCATCTGGTTCAAAGAAAGATAATGAATTATGTTTGGCACCTTTCCAAAATTTTATTTATTGGTCACTTTGATATGCGACAGTTTATTTACCTTCAGAATACAGCCAATTATTGACTCTCCTTGAACGTTGAAATATGTTTGCTGTGATTGTAAGAACCATTGTGGCGATCGTTGTATGGAGCCCTGGTCAGAGGTGAATGTCAGGGATATTGAAAACAGAATGTATCATATTAGAAGCACCTGTGTACGCTTGCGTAAATATTCTGACAATTCAGACAATGTACTGTTTTCCTTGTAAGTAAAATTTGTAGGTACATAGGCTTTATTAGTGACAAATGCATTGCATATGCCACTGTCATTTATTACATAACTCAGGTACTTTTCTCTGATCTTCCGTCCTATTCCTATACACTCGCTGAAAACTGAAAAAATGGATTTAATGAGCGTAGTGTTATAAATTGGTTCTAAATTCCAATCAACTTAACTTTCAAACACCATAATTTTTCCTAACAAAATTTTGTTACAACATTTTGCCTGTTTATATTTTTCTCTTATTTTTGGATCAATGGGCATAATTTTCTATTTGCTACATGTCTTCATCAAAATTTAGGGAAAAATTCAACATATTTTAGTTTGTGAATTGTGATGAAAGTTGACTTTGACGTTCTGCAATGGATTAATAAACAAGTTAACGCATATTTGACTTTTCATATGTCATTCCCATATTTGGTGTTCATAGGTCAGTTTCACTATCTGCAGTGATCCTTTATTTCTCAATTGTTGTACAATTCAAAACTGTTTTCTCATACAAAATGGCCAATTGTTATTTAATAGCCAAATCAATTTGGTCACAGACTATGGTTTAAATTGCTCTCCCTCCAAACAAAATCACTGGATATCTGAATACAATAGCTTGGGTTTGAGTAATGTTGTGTGATGAATACATTAACTGTTTTCTTGTCAGTGTTTGTAATCGCTTAATGACGTATATTCCTCATTGAAGTAGTGTTCAACAATGGTTGTTTCAAGGGTTACTGCTCATAGTGAAACATATGACTGCTTGCTATTGTCTGAAATTCCTCGCTTGCACAATATACTTGTGTGTCGCCTGATTCAGTTTTTTTTTTCATTGGCTTATTTCAGCATTTATTTGCCCTGTTTTGTTTTTTACATTATTTACTAAATTATTTAAATTTGTTTTTGATTTCAATAATTTATCCCATCCTTGGCATACCAAATTATTAATTAGTCATATACTAAATTTTTACTATATTTGCAGAGACCCTTCATTTCTAAAATGATCCATATTTCATAAAAGATCTTGGCTCATACAAATCATTCGTTTTTAGGTTCTATTTCATCATTGGAATCATACAAAATCATTTTTATCTTTATCATCATAATTAAATCTGTTCGAGTCTTGTTGATGACAGTATAGCAATGATTAAACTGCGCTGCTACGCTTAACAGTTCGAAGTCTGACACTCCCATAAACAGACAGTTCATTGCTCTGGCAGCCACTCATGCATTTCTTTTAGTCTGGAAATTTGTTTATATAGACATACTACGATAGTATTGTCTGCAGGTCTGTGTATTGTGGGTGCATTGGTCATGCAGATGTGCGATATGGCTTGTAGGCTAAGTAATGTGATTGCGATCCTCATCTTGTAATGTAATTTTCAAGATTAAATATGTAACAAATAGCCTTTTATGATTAATATTTCAATAGAGGATAACAGTTGGAGTATGCACAACAAAACAATAGGAATTAAATTGTGATTATGGGCACAGGTTTAATGGCTGTGTTGGTTGTGAGAAATCAGAACCACTATGGGTGCATGTCGATCACATTAATGTCCAGTATTTAACCTGATAAACCAGCAATCTCAATATTACACATTTAATGTAATGCTTACATTGTTATCATTATGTTTTCATGTAATGTATTGTAGTGTAATATAATGTTCACTTTTTGTTCTCAATTTTAATAATATTTTCATTATGTTCCCATGCAATGTAATATTCTCATTATGTTCCGATGTAATGTATTGTTATTATTATGTTTCCCATGTTATGTTGTTTTGATTATGTTCCTCATGTAACATAATGATCTCATTATGTTTCTATGTAATGTAATGTAATGTTTTCATTATGTTCCCATGTAATGTTATTATGTTTCCAATGTAGTGTGACATTCTCTTTATGTTCCTATTGTCATGTTCACTTTGTATAATGTAAAATTCACTGTAAATGTTTTTATAACATACAATGTTCTGTTATCTAGGTCTGTAAGTGTTAACATTCTGTATTAGGGTCCTATTGTAAGTGTTAACATTCTGTATTAGGGTCCCTAATGTAATGTATAATATAAACACCAATGTCTTATTGTAATATATGAAGTTCTTAATATTTCTTGCATGTACACATTATTTTTCAGACAATTATTCACTAATTCTATGTCACCTGTTACAATCATTGTCTCATATTTGCATAATCTTGTTTCTTTCCTATTTCTATTTCCTTGTGATATCTCCGACTAGGTAAGAACTATTTTTTAATTTAAATGTGTCATACTAATATAGAAGATGAAGTTGCACATCCAATTCAAAATGAATTACAATTAATATAAACAAAAAATTTTAATTTTTTGTCCTTATTATCAGAATAGCATAAGAATAAAATATAGTTTGTTTGTGCCTTTAAAAAATAATTATGAGTCTAGTTAATACCTTAGGTGGACTGGTGGCAGTCTTTAAAACATTCATCATTATAAATGTTTGCACTTCAGAAATCTCAGAATTTCTGGTTGTTATTTTGTTTTAATTTGTTACCAGTATATTGTTTCTTGAAACAGACTTTTATGGCACAAAGCGTGAGAACGTGAAATACATAAAAAATGTTTTTTTTGGCAAACATATTATTCTTTTTGCATTCATGACATGAACCCCCAATTGTCAATTTTTTGTATCCTTATATACTTTAAAATGCTTTAACCTTTTCACCACCAGTTCCCTCTTTTCATCACGAATTCACCAAAAAAGTCCCGCTTATAATCTGCACTTTCCTTCAGAAGATTGGAACAAAAATAGTCAAATTTGCTGTGTAAAAACTAAAAATTGACTCAGATTTTTTCTGTTGGTTCTAAAATTAGTGTTCATTTTCAGAAATATAGAAAAACATTAGAAAAAATACAAAAAGTGAAAATTTGGCAAAATTTGTGAGTCAGAAATAATTGTAGATTTTATTCATATCCTTAACCTTTTGATCCCAATAATTTTAGCCACCCCAAAATAAACATGCAAAATTTTGCATGTTTTAATGCATTTTTCTTTAATGTTTTTTTTAGTCTTAATTGATGTAATTTCTGATTGGCTACAGGTCGAGATTAAAATTGATTAAAAATATTAAAATAAAAATATAGCAACAGTTCACTGATATACACGCTAGCTGTGTGGGAGATACCACCAATACCTACAAGTACATATAAGCCATCCGTTCATTACCTTTCTCTACATTTGATAAACAACAAACTAATCTGACTTATTTCCCAGGTATGTTGGACATCAGCAAGGACCCTGACTACCACGGCATTTACGACAACATGAAATACTTTCCAATGAGCGAACATGATATGCTGGAGGACAATAGATTATTCATGCATCACGTAGATGATCTTTCCATGCAAATGACGTTACAACAAGACTCCATCAAACAACACCACAATTTATTTGTTCTGGATCCTAGCTATGTCATTACAAACGTTGTTAAACTCGGTGAGGATAAACTTGATAGGGACGCTTACGAAAGGCTGCAGAACCGTCTCCTGGTCCACCAGGAGGAGATAAAGAAATACATAGAAAGTAAAAGTGAAATTAGAAGGAATATACATTTACTGAAATTTGTGAGTTTTATGGTTCCGTTTCTGATGGGCATGAAGAAGAGAAATAAAGTACCTGATGTCAATATATTTCTTGCACCACTTACAGGTGAGTAAAATGTTTCTTAATTCTCTGAGCACCAATCTTAATTCCCAAATTTTAAACCTTCATAATTTTTTCATTTTTTTTTCAATAATTTTGATGAAAACTTGTACCCAATAGAAAATTATGTCCATTTGGTACAAAAATTATTGAATAAATTTTTAAAAATGTTACAACAAAATTTGCCTCGAAAAATTAATGGCACCTAAACAGTAAAAGCTACTATAGCGATAGATCTAATGGCTTCATGATAGAGTCTTTTTTGTTTGAGCAGACAATGCTGGATATTTGCCAATTTATTGCCTCCACACGATGTATTAGCTGTCAGTGTAGAATAATTGGGCAAGTCTGTGTATATTTGCTGCACTTCCAGAACTCATTAAAAAGTCTGTGTCAAGCTCAGAAGCATTGTGTGTATGAAGTAAAGTACTGAAAAAACAAACATCCCTTAAGGTTATTAAGGACAATATTGGTTCAAAGTTGTAAATGTGAAACTGAAAAGACCATGGTTGATATGCATGTCTTTACATATGCTAGATTACAGTCCCTCTAGATGTACCACAACATTCATGTTTAGCTGATCCCAAATATGTTAACCTTTTCACCACCAGACTTTCTCAACCAAATTTTTCTGTACTGTATTCCTATATTCTTCAATATTTCTGGAAATGAACCCCAATTTTGGAGCGAACAGACACAATTTGAGTCAATTTTCAGTTTTTACGCAAACAATTTGGGCTTTTTTTGTTCCAATCTTCTGACAGAAAGTGCAGACTATAAACGGGGTTATTTTGTGATGAAAAAAGGATACTGGTGGTGAGAAGGTTAAATAATATTATGCATTTGTTCTACTGCAAGAATTACAGAGTTGACACTTCTAAGTCTGTGTCCCCGTCTTCTCACATGCATATAAATGCACTGTCACATTCAAATTGGGTTCTGTAGTGTGATGTCAAGTTCAGCTTCATTTTGATTTTTATCAATTAATCTAAAATATCTTTTGCTTGGAATTAATTTTTCTGCTGAAGGAATGATGCAGTGAAAATAAAATCCAGCGAATATACCTTTTTTTTCTTATATTTTACCTTATATAATAAATTCCATACAAAACACGCAAACAATCTTTTCAGCAAAAATAAATTCCAGCTAAAATAAAGTATTTTACAGTATTATACTGATGGTCAAATCAAATTTGCATCAAACAATGTTTAAGTCAGTTAATGATAATATATACAATTCTTGATTCACTTATAGATACCACAAAAAAACTACATGTAACCTGTCAGAATGAATTCTGTACTCCAGTAGTTATATTCTTGGTTTAGTTATAGATACCACAGTATCTCACACACAAAACAACTACATGTTACCTGTATGAATGATTTCTATACTCCAGTAATTATAGCCCCTTCATTTCAGACAAAATTTAAGTGCCACTTTTGGCTGATGTGGCTTTGTCTTACTTTCTGTCTCTCATATTTTTTCCACATCTCTCTCACAACACACACCTGGTAATGTATAGACCAGGAATAAGAATATGGATATCGTATGGATAGCAAAATAGACAACTGTTATTATTGAGTTCTTCCATGGAACTATAAACCCCAGGAAGAACAACCACTTTGTTTCCTTTGAACTATGATAGTTGCCGCGATGTTGAATGTTTATTTTGACTGTTTATTTCGTCGCATTAAATAATAAGCCGATTTACGCAAATGAACGTTTATCTCCAACTATCGGTCATTTTCGGAGTCAATCGGGTGACTTCGGGAGATCACGTGATCGAGTTGTTTCGGTTATAGCATAAAAAACAATGGTGCCAAGACAAAAACACTGATAAATGAGCGACATTCAACGGGAAAAAAAAACACATTGCCACTTCTGGCGATCGAAGGGAAACACGGAATAAGTCGGGATATCTCGACAACAAACAGCATACCAAACCCCATGTTTCACAAACTTTCGCAACCTTATTTTTTCGAGGGTTGAAAAAAACAAGAAGTAATCTAAAAACGTCATTGAAAATTATGAAAACTCGCTAAAACTCCGACCCGTTGCATGATTTCCGGTACACTGAAGGTGACCGACTTGTTTGCGCATGCGTAGTGAACGAAATATTTTACTACGCAGTTATGAAATTTTTTTTTAAAGTTTTCCGTTTCCAGCAAAGCGGTTGATACGGGCGTATCGGCGGCAACTAACATGGAGTATGACTAATGTCGTGGAAACAAAAGCGAAAGCACTGTAAGATAAACTAAGACAAAGGTTTTTTTAATCCTCTTAGTTTCGTTGTTCTTCCTGGGGTTTATAGTTCCATGGTTCTTCTTAAAATAAAATATTGTTTGTCATGCTTATTAGTGCTGGGAATAGAATTCTATTGTGATAGTGACTAGGTTTGTACCCTCCTGGCATTACATGACTATGGTATTGTGAAACATTCAAAATCAAAACCGAAAGTTACAGCATTTGCAAGTTATACTAATAAAAACCTGATGCATCCTCCCCCAGGTATTATAGAATAGGGATCTCTATCCCTTTATTTTGGATTTTAAGTGAACCAATTTAGCACGTCAATAAATACAATTGGGTTAATTGACATATTCTGTTGTTATGCAAATTAGATACTACTCTACTACTTTCCTGGGAGAACATTGGTCAAAGGCTACAAAAACAGGATATTTTCAAAACAAAACCAAAATATATTTTGTCAGACAATAATGGCTTTGATCTTTATCACTCATGTATAGGTGAGGGATAAAAGTCACTTTCCTGATATTACTGTTAATTCACTCACGTAGATTTAATTTAGCAGATTATAGCTATCAGCAAAAATAGCAAAAACCCAGTGAATAATTAATTCATTTAGAGTATTTGCATGTGTATATTAAAGTACAGGAATTACAATATAATTTATTCTCATAGTTTCATAGTTTATTTTTTATACTCACTTGTATACCTTTCTATTGGCAGTGGTGTTTACTTTAATCATGGTAACCGTTTTATTAGTTTGCTTTATAATTTAACGCCTGGGAGATATATCCCCTAAGTGGGATTGTTCACTGTCACATAAACTCTAGCATGGCTATAACTCTAATCAAATCTAATGTCTTTTGACGAACTGTGGAATGTACCCGGTACTTATACACTTAATTTAATTGCCCTTTGATTGATTTCACGGTAAAAATAAATTTTTCTACTGCTATGTTTTTATACACAGTGAATACCAATTATATTATGAGCTCTAAAATACTTTAAAAATTGTTGGTGGTTTAAAGTGCGGTAGTCGTTGCGATGTGCCTGTGTGACATTTGTGTTGATAAACATTGATTTTCCCACAATCCAATGCGCTCTTCAAATGGAAATCACACAAGTATGAGGTTTGACCTTCGCGCGATATGTACTGATTACCACCGGTGACTCCTTGATACCTTTGAATAACATGAAAATTATCTAATTAAATCTTGGAAACGTCTCAGTTCATACTCGTTGATCTGCGCAACAGTCAAAGTCGCCATATTTGTTTATATGAGACCCATACATTTGTATATCTCGCACATGCGCAGCGCGACGACTACCGTGCTTTAATGTTCTGTGATCGACATGATATTAATACTAATTTATATCTTAGTAACAACACCTGCTTTGAGGCAACCAATATTAAAAGTTTCCCTCTCAGCTTTCTTGAGCAGCAACTATCAATTTGATTCTGTGGAAAGTAGCTCTAATGATCAAATTTCCTGAGTCTGGTTGAGGGCGCTGTTGTCCATTCTGTGCTGTTTTGCTCATTGTCATCTTAAAGGGCGGTAGTCGTCGTGCCGCGTCCTGTTCGATATGGGACGTATACAACGCGTGTAAAATACATTGTTTATTTACATGAAATTTGAGCACGCGCTGCGCCGCGCTTTAAATGGTACTGTAACCCCAATCTGAATAAATTACATTCAGGATTTGTGATGTACTAAATTGCAAAACTTTCTCTTCCATGTGCTTTAGGTTGCTTTAGGGGTGAACAATTTATAATAATTATTTCTTTCAAAAGTGTCACATACATGTATTTTTTTCATGTATAAAATAAAATTATATTGTAAAACTCAAGGAGATGTGATCATATTTTTGAATGGAAGCCAATTACCATAAACCGGTTTACTCCAGTTTAATCAGGAGTGAGGCTGTTTTTCATACTTAAAATATTGACAGATTTGAATATGGTATATTTATGATATCCATTTTATTGCTCATAATTTATTATTACAGTGATTGCATTGTGGCTGTTCCTTTCTCATATTCTTATTCTAACAAACTTTTGTTGATTTGCTTTTCTAGCTGACGAATGCAAAACAGAGCGAGAATTGCCTCCTTTAATAAAAGGCAAAGACTTCAAGTGTCAAAACTTTGAATTCAGCCCAACTCGATATTTTCATTTACACGGCGGTATTTCGTTTGATTGTGAACCCTCACCTATCAATAGTCCATCACAAGAAATAATAGACACATTTGATGAACTGCAGTCGCAGGCTCTGAGTCATGTGGCAAAGATAACGGATCCTAACGCTCCATATCAAGACAGTTTTCCGATACCTGTCAGAGAGTTCAACGGACAAAGGTGAGATGATGAACTCTTCTTTTTTTCAATCATTTATTAATTTTTGCTGCTAGAAATTTTTGTGATTTAATTTAATTTGCAAGGACAAAATCTTGTGAAAAGTGCTGTGACAAATTTTATTGACTTTCAAAAGTTACAAAACTATTTCTCTTGCAAAACTATTATAATTTGAAAAAATTGAAAAGAATCTAGGGGTCATAGAATTTAAGTAACAAATTAGATGCGAGTCAATCAAAATATTAGAATGACTAATGGCAAAGAAAATATTAGTACCAGTACTGTATTAGTACTATTAGTAGTGCATGCATACATTACAGATTTGCATGTTTCTATGCAGGTATGTACGACCTAGAAAAAGTGCCATATGCGAGTACCAAGTTGCGAGTCACAAGTATCAAAATATGCCATATGCTAGTGGTAATAACGGCATATGCGAGTGGTAAAATGTATCATTTGCTAGTAGCAAAAAAGCCCTATGCGA